CGTGATTATACATCAAAGAGGTCATCCGTTTGCATGGTATCCCAGCCTCAATTGTATCGGATAGAGATCCAAGATTTACCTCAAAATTTCAGAAAAGTTTGCAAGAAGCTATGGGAACCAAGTTAAACTTCAGCACAACTTTTCATCTACAAACTGATGGACAATCGGAGAGGACTATACAGACTTTAGAGGATATGTTGCGGGCATGCGTCCTTGATTTAAGGGGTAGTTGGGAAAATTATGTACCACTGGTAGAGTTTGCCTATAATAATAGTTACCAAGCTACGATAAAGATGGCACCTTACGAAGCTCTTTATGGCAGAAGATGTAGAGCTCCCCTCTATTGGGATGAAGTAGGTGAACGAAGAGTTCTGGGACCCGAAATAATTGAAGAAACTAGTCGAGCGGTTGATAAAATAAGGGCTAGAATCAAGGCAGCCCAGGACCGACAAAAGAGTTATGCCGATAAAAGGAGGAAAGATTTGGCATTTAATGTTGGTGATAAAGTTTTCTTAAAAGTGGCACCAATGAAGGGAGTTCTTCATTTTGGGAAGAAAGGAAAACTTCGGCCAAGATTCATAGGTCCTTTTAAGATTTTACAAAAAGTTGGAAATGCAGCTTATCGAATCGCTCTACCACCAGATTTGTCAGCGATTCATGATGTGTTCCATGTATCGATGCTTCAGCAATATGTGTCGGATCCAAGTCATGTGGTTAGTTATCAACCATTGAACATCAAACAAAACATAACATATGAGGAAAAACCAGTAGCAATATTGGATCGTAGAATCCAGCAATTAAGGACAAAAGAAATTCCGTTAGTAAGAGTCCAATGGCGGAACCATAATGTCAAAGAATCAACATGGGAAAGAGGAGGAAATAAAGACCAAGTATTCAGAACTTTTCAACTAAGTTCAAGGTAATTTCGAGGACGAAATTTTTTTTTTAGGGGGGAGGGATGTAATACTCCGAAATTTTATGCTCGTTTAAATTTCTTTGGGATAGCGATTTAACTTCCAATGTTATTTTGGCTATAAGAAAAGGGAACATCACCTTTGTAGTAGTTAATGCTAGAGGTAGTTAAGGAATGTAGGCATGAAGTGTCAAATGTTGTAAGTGATTATTAGTTAGTCGAAACTTAAGTCAAGTTTGAATTTGAATGAAGTGGATTATTTTGTTAGGACTTCAATTGACCAAATGATTAAATTATTTTACAATCTACAATTTTTGAATATGTAAGTTGGATACAAGGTTAAATTTGGGATACACTTTGCTAACAATGAAAGTTAGAGGGTTAGATTATATTAGTTGAAAAGATAAGAGGCTTCCTTTGTAAATCTAGGTTTTGATGCCACTTATTACCCTATAATCAACCCACTTGTTATCCATCATCACCATACACTTAGACAATAGACTAAACATGTGTAAAGGTAAGAAAAAAAAAGGGAGAAAAGGGGTGAGGCGGTGGAGTAGAGAAAAGGAAGAAAAAAAAATTTATCAAACCTTATCCTTATCCTTGTTTATATATAAATATATCCATATCCATTACCATAGAGAGATTTCCTTCATTTTACAAAACACGTATACACTTAAATAGAGAGCAAAAACCGAAAATAAGAAAGGAAAGGGAAGGAAGTAAGACTAGCACTTCTAATTTACATCTCAACCGAAGATCTTCAAGTTTTACGGTAAGATACTTTCCATGCTTAAGAGTTATGATTTTCATGGTAATATTTATGCTTAAGCTATGCATGAAAAACCATAATATGATTATGGTGGACAAGTCCACAAAGCTAGATATCTATTATGCCTTAGGACAAGTCCAAAGGGCCCCGGCAAGCCGGAATGTGCAAGTATGTTTTTGATTGCATTCTTTTGTGTAGTATTATCATGATAAAAATCCAAGCATGGTATCTTACTGAGTATTTCTTATACTCATAGTACGTTATGCTAAATTTTCAGATCCATGATCGTTGGAATTGATGGAAGTCAGTTGACAAAATCGATGATGGATTAAGGACAACGATGTTTTGTACTGAAAGTTTCATCTTGTATGTTTTGTCCGATGACTGTTTTTCTATCTATTTTTCTTAAGGTATTATGTAAAAATATGTTTACGATATGATGTAATATGGTACTAATAGTAAATTTTGTAATTATATCTTCATGTTATGTTAAGAGACTTTTATAGTTTATTTTCCTTGCAAGAGACAAAAGGCAGAAACGGGACAGTTTCTGGAGTCATTTTCAAAATGATGTTTCTAACTCTATAAACGTTCATTTGAAACTATAAAAATATTTCGGTGTTCGTCTTTGAGTTTTCTAAATATGGCCACAGGAATCACTCAATTTGGATAGCTATGGCCTGAGTTATCAAGGTTTTAACGTCAAGGGGTCAATCTGGATTTCCTGTGTAATACTTCACTGTTTTCAGTAAAACGTCCATATCATATGATCTTGGAAAACTTTCATATTTTAGCCTAGAAAACTAATTGAAATTATCTTTCTATTGCCACAAATTTCATAGAAAACGGAGTTGGGATGAATTTTATAAAAATTGTCAAACTTGCTGCCCCAACTAATCTTAATAGTGCCGAGGCCGTATATGTAATGTATAATTTCATGTTAGCATGCACTTTTACCGGCCATCAAATTTTATAAGAATTGTTTTACCAAATCGAAAAATAAGTTTCTAACATGCAATACTTCTATTTAAGAGTATTTACATGTACCAAAGGCAGAAGTTATTATGCTTAGTACGTGACCCTCGAAGCTTAAGTTCGGGGCGTCACAAACTATTTCTTGTACATAGAGCTGAACATATCGGTCTATGGAATTAGTGGAACAAACTGGAATGAAATGGGGACTGATTTGGTTAACCTATCCACAATAACCCAAGTACTATCCTATCCTTTAGTTATTTTTGGTAATTTCACTGCAAAGTCTATTGTGATTCTTTCATATTTCCACTCTGGGATAGGTAATGGTTGTAAGGTTCCTATTGGCCTTTGATGTTCTGCTTTTATCTATTGATGGGTTAAACATTGTCCCACATATTCGGCTATCTCATCTTTCATATTTGGCCACCAATAATGTAACTTCAAATCTCTATACATTTTAGTAGCTCCTAGATAAACAGAATATGGTATCGTGTGAGCTTCAAATAAAATATCCCCTCCGGTATATTCTACATCAGGTACATATAATCGTCCTCTAAACCGCAAGATACCATCTGCTCATCTATGAAAATCTGAAGCTTTTCTATCATGTACATCATTCTTTACCTTAGAAAAACAAGCATCTTCCTATTGCTCTTACTGAATTCTATTTAATAATGTTGGCTGAAGTGTCAATGCTGCAAGTTCAGCCTCTACAAATCCTTGTGACACAACTTCAATACCCATTTTTTGTAAATCTATCAATTCTAATTTTTAAGTTACAATCATACTCGCAACATTGGATGTCGACTTTCCACTCAATGCATTAGCTCAACATTAGCCTTACCGGGATGATAGCTTATAAACACAATCATAATCCTTTATGAACTCTAGTCATCTTCTTTGCCTCATGTTCAATTCCTTTTGTGTAAATAGATATTTCAAACTTTTGTGATTAGTATAAATCTCGCACCGCTCCTTATACAAATAATGCCTCCATATCTTAAGTGCAAACACAGCTGCAGTGAGTTCCAAGTTATATGTAGGATAATTCTTTTCCTACTCTTTAAGCTGTCTAGACATATATGCAATAACTTTACCATTTTGCATCAATACACATCCCAAATCATTCTTTGAAGCATCACTATAAATCGCAAAGCTTCCAATACCAGATGGGATTGAAAAGATAGGGATTGAAGTCAGTCTTTTCTTCAATTCCTAAAAGCTTTGCTCACAATCATTTGTCCATTCAAACTTAGTACTCTTTTTGGTTAATTTCGTTAAAGAAGAAGCTATTTTTGAAAATCCTTCCACAAATCTAATGTAATATCCAGCTAAACCCATAAAACTTTTGATCTCTGAAGGGTTTGTAGGTCGTGGTCAATTATTAATAGCCTCTACTTTACTTGGATCTACTGATATGCCCTCACTTGATACTATATGTCCCAAAAATACAACTCTGTCTAACCAAAATTCACTAACTGCTTGTCCTTTAAGACCTGAAGGACTAGTCTCAAGTGTTTAATATGTTCTTCTTTAGTACAAGAATAAATAAGGATATCATCAATAAATACAATGACAAACTTATCAAGATAATCCTTAAATACCCGATTCATCAAATTCATAAAAGCTGCGAGGCATTTGTCAACGCAAATGGAATCACTAAAAACACATAATGACCATATCTCGTACTAAATGTTATCTTTGAAATATCATCTTCCTTTATCTTTAGTTGGTGGTATCCAGATCGCAAATCAATCCTCAAGAATATAGATGCACCCTGAAATTGATCAAACAAATCATCAATCCTCGCAATGGGTATTATTTTTAATTGTCACCTTATTCAACTCTCGATAATCGATACACAGTCTCATTGCACCATCATTTTTTTGAACAAATAATACTGGTGCACCCCATTGTGAAAAGCTAGGTCTAATAAAACCTTTATCTAACAACTCTTGTAATTGTAACTTCAACTTTTTCAATTTAGTTGGGGCCATTCTATATGGAGCCTTGAAAATTGGAGATGTTCTTGGAATTAAATTAATTACAAACTCTATCTTATGATCTGGTGGTATCCTCGGTAAATCATCAGGAAATACCTCTTGAAATTCTTGTGCCACGGGTACATCACTAAGATTCAGATTGTGTTCTGCTTCAATAGTTATAACACTCACCAAATACCATAAACACCCATTATCTAGTAACCTTTGTGCTTTCAATACCGATATAATTGGAACTAAAACCTTTTTCAATCCTAACGAATGTAAATGGCTCATTCTCCAAAGGTTGAAAAGTTATTGGCTTCCTCTTACAATCTATAGTAGCTTGATATTTTGACAGCTAATCCATACCCAAAATTATATCATAATCTCTCATATCCAACACAATTAAATCCGCACAGAGCTCTCGATTTTCTATAAGGATCACACATGCTCTTACAATCAGATTGGTTAGTTGTACATCTCCAGATGGAATAGTTACACTATAACTGACCTCTTGTATATCAGGTGTCCTACCCAACCTCCTCACATATTCAGTAGACCTAAATGAATGCATAGCTCCAAAATCAAATAGTACAAGTGCTGGGATGCCAAAAATAGAGAATTTACCTATTACAACTAATGGTTTTGCCTCGACATCTGATCTTGTGATAGTAAACACCATGGTTGGTACCTTTTTCTGCTCCATAGGATTTGGACTACCTGGACATGCTCTAGCAAGATGTCCTACCTTTCCACAAACATAACATGCTCCAGTATGATGTCCACCACATCTGGCGCAAGATGGTTGTGCTGATAAGACTTTTCCTGGATCTATCCTTGAACGTTTGCCCTGATGCTAATGTTGTTGCCCTTGTCTCGATTGAAACTTAGGCTTCTGACTCTATCCTTGAAAGCTCTTTTCTTATCATTTCTAGGCTAACGCTATCCTTGACCTAGCCTGAATTGTCGTCGAGGCTCTTGACCACGACTAATTCTTTGTTCGGCTTGTTCTGCAACTAATGCTCTCTCCGCAATTTGAGAATATAAAACATCTTGGATTTTTGCCATGCTTATAGCTCTATATAGTTCTGGTCTTAGCCCCTCAAGAAATCTTTCTTCCTTTAGTGTACCAGTATTAACCATGTGGGTAGCAAACCAAAATAGTTGTTCAAACTTACGAATATACTCTCCTACTATCATCTCTCCTTGTCTTAGCTGTATAAATTCATTCATCTTCATGGCTTGAACTGAGGCTGCAAAATATTTATTACGCAATAACTCTTTAAATCTCTCCCAAGTCATGGCATTTACATCTTCAATGCTACTCATCGTATCCCACTAATGTCCAGCACTGCCTCGTAACATAAAGGCTGCACAAATCACTTTTTCTACTTTTGAAACTCTCGTATACCTGAACATATTCTCTAAAGTCCTCAACCAATCCTCTACTGCTATTAGGTCCAATGCATCCTCAAATATTGGACGGTTTAGTTTTCTAAATCTTTCTCCAACTACCTCAATATGTTTAGGCCTTTTTTGTGGTTGTACGAATTCAACTATGATACCCCTAACTTCATATTGCACTTTTGGCCAATATGATTCATGCATTTCATGCTATCCACAATGTCACTTGCATTAGTTTTCTTAATTACTTTATCTCAAAATGGTGCATTTGATTATGGATATTTTAAGATTTTAGTCTTCGATTTCTCGACCTTGGTGTTGAATTTTGTATTGAGATATGATAGAAAATTAGGTTAACTAAATGTTCAAGATTGGCTTGATAAGAAATAGAATATCGAAAAGGTCAGAAATTAGTATCGACAAAGGTTCAAGCTTTCTATTTAGTTAATCGAGCCACCTTAAACCCTAGATAGGTAATTGACATATTTGGGACATGAGACATAAAGGGACATGATCATGATGTGATAATATATGTCTCATATGACGTTATAAATATTGATGTGCAAATTGTGGAAATTAATCAAGAATCGGGTATCAATCGGTAAGAAATTAAATGAATGGTTGAGGAATTAGTTCTATAATATACTGTGAGATCTTAGGGAAAGTAAATTGGATTGCTAACACATTAAAATAAGTCAAGGATACTTGATTTTCACCTACAAAGATAGATATAAAATCAGATTTTTACTACAAGTTACCACCTCATGCTTGAACACTTCGTGCTAGGGGTGTTTGTCATTTTAACAATCAATTCCTTCAACCTTAAGGCATCAATCTCGTGTCTACTCCCTAACAACTTGATATAGGATGGATATAAATCTTAAAAGTCACAAATGCATCCAAATATAATGGTTGAAAGTCAAGTACGGCTGCAATGAAGACACATCGTGCTTGGACACCTCATGCTTGGGATAGTTATCATATTAACGCCCAAATTCTTTTAGACTTAAGGCATCAATTTTGTGTCATACTCCTTAAGTACTTATTATAGGATGTATTTATATCTTATAAGTTATAAATAGACCCAAATATAATAGGAGAAAAGTCAGGTGTTGCTGCGAAGAAGAAACCTCTTACTTAACTTGTAAGTTGTGAGGACTTGTCAATCGACCATTTAATTCATTCAACCTTAAGCCTCCAGCACGTCTTCTAAACCATTATCTCTTATTATATAATAGATAAAAATCTTCTAAGAAGGGAAGGAAAAGGTCAAAGTTGGCTGCGTAGACCCACCTCCTGCTTGGACAGCTCATGCTTGAGGTAATTACACTTTCCTTCATCCTTAAGCATCATTCACGACTCCAATCCTTGAGGCTACTTATACATCTCTTACATAAGACATTTAAACCTCCAAATATATCCCCAAGTGACCCCAGGTGAAAGAGAGAACAAAGGAAGCAAAGAGAAATAGAAAAATAAGAAGCTGGGATTGTAGTTTGTAAAGGTTAGTTTAAGTCATGGTTTTGAAGTTTTTCTTTAGTACTTTTGGATGTTTTATAATATGTTAAAACTCTAAACTTACCTGAGGTTAATTATAAGGGTTTTTGATGATTTTATGATGGCAAAAGTGTGACACCCCGAACTTAAGCTTCGAGGGTCACGTACTAAACATAATAGCTTCTGCCTTTGGTACATGTAAATACTATTAAATAGAAGTATTCCATGTTGGAAACTTATTTTCAATTTGGTAAAATAATTCTTATAAAATTCAATAGCTGGTAGAAGTGCATGTCGACAAGAAATTATACTTTACATATACGGACTCTGCACTATCAAGGCTAGTTGGGGCAGCAAGTTTGACAATTTTTATAAAATTCATCCCAACTCCGTTTTACATGAAATTTGCAGCATTAGAAAGATAAATTCAATTAGTTTTCTAGGTTAAAATATGAAAATTTTCCAAGATCATATGATATGAACGTTTTACTGAAAACAGTAAAGTGTTACACAGGAAATCCAGATTGACCCCTTGACGTTTAAAAATTTATATCTCAAGCCACAAATATCCAAATTGAGTAAATCCTGCGGCCATATTTAGAAAACTCAAAGAGGAACACAGAAATAGTTTTAGAGTCTCAAATGGATACTTATAGAATTGGAAATATCATTTTGAAATTGACCCCAAAACTGTTCCGTTTCTGCCTATTTCATCACTTTCAAAAAAAAAAAAAAAACTGTAAAATGTCTCTTAACATAACATGAAAGATGTAATTACAAAATTTTCTTTTAGTATCATATTACATCATGTCATGTACATGTTTTTATATAATACCATAAGAAAAAAACAAATAGAAAGCAGTCATCGAAAAAAACATATAAAAGGAAACTTTCGATGCAAAACATCTTTGTCCTTAACCCATCATCACTTATGCCAGCTAACTTCCATCAACCTAACAATCATGGATCTGAAAATTTAGAATAGCATACAATGAGTATAAGGGATACTCAGTAAGATACCATGCTTGGATTTTATCATGTTAATACTACACAAAAAAATGCAATCAAACACATACTTGCACCTTCCGGCTTGCCGGTGCCCTTCGGACTTGTCCTAAGGCATAAATAGATATCTAACTTTGTGGACTTGTCCACCATATGGATATTATGGCTTTTCATGCATAACTTAAGTATAAATATTACCATGAAATCATACCCCTTAAATATGGAAAGTATCTTACTGTAAAACTTGAAGAAATTTCGATTGAGATGTGAATTGAAAGTGCTAGGCTTACTTCCTTTTCCTTTCCTTTCTTATTTCGGTTTTCCTCTCTATTTGTGTGCGCAAATGTTTTGCAAAGTGAAGGAAATTTTTCTCCATGACAATGGATATGAATATATATATATATATATATATATATATATATATATAAGGATAAGGATAATGGATTGATATTTTTCTTCCTTTTTCCAATCTCCACCGCCTCACCTCTTTTTTTTTTCCATTTTCTATTTTTTTTTCAATCTTGCTTCTACACATGTTTGGTCTATTGCATAAGTGTATGGTGATGATAAATGACAAGTGGGTTGATTATAGGGTAATAAGTGGCCACAAATTCTAGATTTACAAAGTAAATCTCTCATTTTCCAAATAATATAACCTAATCCCTCTAACTTTCATTATTAGCAAAGCATATCCCAAATTTAAATTTGTATCCCACTTACATATTCAAATATTGTAGATTGTAAAATAAATCCCAACAAAATAATTTAATCATTTGGTCAATTGAAATCCTAACAAAATAATCTACTTCATTCAAATCCAAATTTGACTTAAATTACGACTACTAATAATCACTTCATGTATACACAACATTTAGCACTTCATGCTTGCATTCATTAACTACCTCTAGAATTAACCACTACAAAGGTGGTGCCCCTTTTTTCTTATGGCCAAAAGAATATTGAAGGTTAAATCGCTATCCTAAAAGAAATTTAAACGAGCATAAAATTTCGGAGTTTTACAAAAAGAGAGGGGTAATCAAGTACAAGAACCTGAAAGAAACCAACAGGAATAGAGATGTGTTGATTGATGAATTTGGATGGTTTAAACTTTGATTTTGGTTAATACTTAAGATATAACTTGTATATATGTAAATGAATGTTTTTATATGTGAATTAGAAGGATATAAATGGTCTTCTAATAGCCTGGAATCTGATTCGTGACAGGCTAATAAAATGGAAACCGAAAACTGTCACAATAAAAACTGCCTGATTTTGGTGCCGTGGAAATGGACTATTTTGATTCTGAAAACACTTTAATTGTCATGACTTTAGACCATTATTACCTTCAAATACATGTTATAGAAATGTGGTAAAAATTTGGGAGTCATTGGATATAGATAAGGGGGTGAAAAAAGATTGGAAAAGTAGTTGGACAGTGATGAAACCTGAAAAACAGATTCTGTTAATTTTCTTGTTAAATGTGGTTTCAACCTTTACATATCCATTAACCATCTCTTGGTCTTAGAAAATAGATTCTAAGTAGTAATAGGTTGTCAAAAACAATTGGATGATGGTGATGTTCATAATTGGACTCGAAAAATAGCGAAATTTATGGGATACGTTTGTAATGCCATCGGTAACTTGAAATGATGATTCCGTCTAAATTATTTTGGTGAGAATGGATGTATTTTGTGATTTTTTATGTTAAGGTTATTAAATTGAGGATTGTCTTTAATATTAAATGGTAATACAGGTGATTTTCCGACTTCAAGTGAAAAAGGAAATGGATCTAATCTCCGTAGAAGCTTCCACACACAAAGGTGAAAGGTAAGTGAAAATCCATTTGCAACTACGATGCAAGAACCTAGTATATGTGATATAGTAATGTTGAAATATTTATATAAGTTGATAAGAGGCTTATAACACCTCATATGATGTGTTGGAAATAATACTTTGATTGAGGATATTACTTCTCAATTACAATCTTCCCATAGTATGACAATGCCAATCACGTAATTGTAGGAGGCTAATTTACACGGTTTCCATTTCACTATAAATTATTGATTTGTAAACTCTATATAATGCAATACGACATACCACTAAAATTAAGGTGGATTTTAATCATTCTTATGGTATCAGAGCCAAGTTGTTTAGCATACCACATATCCTGTTCTTCTTCCTTTCATGGCTTCTAAAACTTCTACCACCCTTCTTCCTTTCAATACCTTAATCCACATAATCACCATTAAACTTTCCTCGTCAAATTATCTCCTCTGGAAAGCCCAACTCCTCCCTCTTCTTAAGAGTCAAGAATTATTAGGATATGTTGATGGCACCCTTGTGTAACCCCCAAAACCTGACACTACCACTTCTCTCATGCCAATTGACAAATACCTAGCATGGAAAGCTACTGATCAGCGTCT